TACTAACCTTAAATGCCTACCCCATCCCAAGAATTTCCCTAGCTGCTTTCTGAAAGCATATGAATTTTTAGTAACAGCTCATGCAGCAAAGAGCTCTGTGGCTTAGGTGCGCATCACATGAAGGACTACCATCTGTGATTAGTTTTCATCTTGCCATCTTTGAGCTCTTTCGGATAGCCAAGCTTTTATATTGGAAAAAGAAGCATTCCCTATTCACCTTTCAGACTCCTCATGTTACAGACTTCTAAAGCAATCTCCTTCTCTTGCTTGAGGTCATCTACTTGGCAGGCTGAAGAGTGTGTCTACGCAATCAGAAGCAGTTTCTTACCTTTGATCATCTATGATGCTCATCTTTGTACCTTTTCCTGTTCTGCTTTCTCTCTCTTTTAGGATTACTAAAATTACTTTAAGGAAAACTTTGCTGAAATTGTATAGTAAATAAAATGGAACACCAAGCACAGAGTTCTTTGGAGTTTGTGTACAGAATCCTCAACTTTATCCATATCCTCAACTTTAGACACAGTAGAAAGAAAAAAAAAAGGCAAAACAAATCTATACAAAGTGGAAAAGCAGACAAAAGACTGGACACTCACTGCAACAGGGCTTTTGTTTTTCTGGTTGGATCTTCTGGTCTGAAGTTTTTGTATACCTCTACTTCATGTTCTATAGAAAGCAGCTGGCCCTGGAGTTTACTTCTGAAGGCTGGCAGGGTATCCCGAATATGATTGGTAAGTTGCTAAAAAGCAAATAAAAATCCTTTTATAATGTCAATAAAGATGAAAGCAAGAGCACGACCATTTCCTTCTGACTGCCAAGCGTATCAGCCATGACCTGTGCTAGTTTACCAGTGGAGTTCCTTTTGATCTTTGAAGCAATGGAGACTGTTAAAGAACAATACAATATCGTCCCTTTTGCATACACATTATAAGGAGGCTTGAAAAATTCCTTCATCCCCTCACTCACTGAACCTTGTTACTCAATACTAGTTTAGTTGCACACAAAAAAGTGATATACATTACATATCCAATTTGAAATGGCCTCTCATCTTAGCACTCATGCCAGCACTCCATTTTGCTGGCTTTCCTAAGGGATTTTCCCAACTCCCCATATACTTAATCCAGCATGACAACTCACATACTTTACAATCACGAGGCAACGTAGGACAAGAAAGAGGTTCTGCACATCCACAGCACACTGAGAGCGGAGATGGAGGGAAGTGTAGACATGCAGAGTACCTATTTGGCACTCTCCCATCATTGGGAAAAATCACTTCCACATTATTTCTGCTTCCTTGTACATAGTACACTAAAGGGAAGAGATTTTTGCCCTCATATTAATGATTATAGAAATTTACCTCTTTTGAACTCTAATTTTGGTTGAAAAAGGTTCTACCACTCAAAACTATTGTTTTTCATTTCTGAAAATATACCTAAAAGTACTAGAAAATAAACTGAAGGAGACTAAAGACAGGATTACTAGATCTGTGTTTAACTTACTTCACTTACTTTTGCATTTATATATATGTTGTAATGTGTTCTGACAACGTTATCAACGTCTCACCTGTGCCATAAATTTCTCATGCATCTTACCTGTTCCCTGATGAAAAACAAAATGGGCATCTTGAGCTACACTGCACTTCCCAACCCAAATTAGACAAGCTGTAAGTTAAGAATGTCATACACCAAAACATGTAAACTCAACATAAATGTTGTTCAGCAGACATGACGGGCACAAAATCAAAAGCTGGAGTTTCCCTGGAGCACCACCTTGTGGATGCAGAGAAACTGCAACATTACCTGAACCCACAAACACTAATACATGGTTAATGTCTTAAGGACAAAACTTATAGGTATCTTCCCATAAATAATATTCTACATACAGATATAGCAACAGAAGAACAACAGTTAATGTTGAAATAGGTAAAGTCATGAAACAACTCACAAAAAAGTTAATAGTACATAAAGTAATGCAAGTCAGGACAAACGAGACAGTCCAAAGGTAAATGCAGCTCATGCTTCAGTCTCAAAACTAAGCCACAGGGATTAAACTTTCAAGATATAAAAAGAGGCAAAATATCCTGACCAGATGAAATTGCAGGATACAGGTGAGTTGTGGCATCCTACTGAAGACTTTGATTCTGAGGCACAAATAAAAGGCATTGGCATTCTTTTTGTGCAAGTCCAGAGCATACCATAACCTGGCTGTCAAGTTACAGCTGCAAAGTCACTGTAGCAAGAAATTAAGACAGCCAGCTATTTTGTTTCCTTTTCTGCTATTACCACCTGCTGTCCAAAACTGACAAAGCCAGGTTGATGTTGTCTTTTTCTATTCCAGACTAAAGGCTGCAATTTGACAGTGAACTGGACAAAACACTATCAAGTTTGACTTGTCGGAATGCCAAGAACAGTGGTCAGCCGATAAAAACTGAATTTTAGAAAAAATAATAAAATCACAGCATCACCAGTAATTATAGACCAGCAGGGAAGAAGAACAGATGAGGTTCCCTCACCAACATTCATTTTAATAAAGATTTTGTATTGGTCCTATCATTATAAAAGCTGCCTTTCACCACAAAGGCTTCAGGTTTTACCTGGTTTAGAACTTTTTGGAGATACGGTGTTCCCATGCGATCTGCCATGTGCCTGTATGCTGGGTGGGAAAGAAAGAATTTCCTTTCTGCTAGAAGAGCTGCCTTTATGTCCTTCTTCCCATCAATGTCTTTCTGGCTTCTGTTTACAACACCAATATAACCTAAAACAACACAAAACCAATGAGGAAGTCAATACAGCTATTGCCTAAACTATTGAATTCATATTAAATAAAACTAGACAGCCTCATTCAATCAAAACTATCCAGTTTAAATATTTCAGATATCACTTACAAACACTGTAATGACCTTAACAGTGTCTAGAGTGTTCATCCTGTTTGTGTATAACAGAGACACTTCCTTTAAAATCACCGATTCAAACACAGAAGTATCTGAAACTTTAATGTACCTGCAAGAAACCAGTTCAAAAATAAACAAACAAAAAAAACCAAAACAAAAACAAAACACACACACACACACACACACACACACACACACACACACACACACACACAGAGGTATACACCAATAAATTATACTGTATTATATTAGTAAAATACAGGAAAATTTCGTCTTGTTTGCTTGACCAACATGCCCCATGGGAGGAGATGGTGGTCTCATCAATAAATTATAACTAGAATCAAAATTCTTGATATCGTTAATGGTATGAGCAACTGTGACAGCAGCTGCCAGAACGATCACATGGAAAATTTCTGGAAGGGCTCAAAACTTGGTTTACAGTGAGATTACCCAAACTCTGGTGCTTGCTTCTGTCATATGCAAAGAAAAAAAACAAAAAAAAAGATTCCTTTGTTACAAGGGACAGCAACCTAGCACAGAAAAGAAAACTGGCTAACAGCTTGTGCTGACATTTCTTGTTTCCTCTGGAATATGCAGTGTATTTTCCAGCCCCAGGGGGAAAAAAAAATTACTTGCAGGATATTTTTACCACAGCCCCCTTTTCTGTTTGATGAACAGGTAACGATAAAAGCCAGGAACTCATCCAGTCCAGCATAATCTCTGATTCACCTCCAGGACTCCCAAACACCACCCTTAGCCAAACCACCTTCTGAATTGCAAAGATTATGGGAAATTGCACATTCTCACCTCTACGAAGAGGAAGTAGTTTGTTTTCTAGAATTTCTCTTGCATCTGTTCCTTCATCCATCAGATCCAATTTTGTGATCACACCAATGGTTCGAAGGCCTGACCGGGGTGGAGGCAGAAGGAGAAAGATAGTGAAGAATAATTTCTATTCAGAAAGAACAACTACATCTTACAATTCCATAATAACAGACAGGGGACATTCTCAAAGCATGTGTCACACAATACCAGCTACAACTGCAAGTCATGGTACATCTGGAAAAGAAGGGATCTTCATTGCCAGGGCTGAAATGTGCTCCTCAAGTCTCTTTAACAGTGCTCAGGATTCCCATGATACGACTATAAAATTTATGATGCGAATATCTAAAAATCCCACCAGCACCATGGTCCGTTTCGCGAGGCACTACCAAAATCTCTAGATAGACGTTGCCCCACTTGCTTATAAGAGATACAGACAAAGGTTTTAAAACACATTTACAGCATCATTACCTGAATTACACTGAGCTAACAAACAGCTATTGTGATGTTGAAGCCCATATGAGATGGTGTATATACACACCTAAATCATAAACCATATTTCACACAAGAGTTGGCCATTTACTTCAAATTATGTTATTGCACTTGGGAACAAAAAGTGGTTCCGTTCAATCATGCCTACCTTGAGGGTCCACTTCCTTAGCTAACTTCAGTGCATCCGAGTTGGCCAGATCGGTGTTAGCTGGAGTCACAGCCAGTATCAGACAGTTTTCTCGAGAGATGAACTGCATTATCATGTCTCTGATCTGCTGCTCAATATCTGGAGGCTGATCCCCTACTGGCACTTTAGTGATTCCCGGCAAATCAATGAGAGTCAGGCTTAATACTACATGGAAAACACAGGATCATAAAACTGGTTAGCATGCAAGCTATGTCTAAAGAGGTCTATCCATCTACGGCTGCAGATAAATTTCAGTCACATAAAATCCCATATAATTACTTATACAGGTATATAAATATTGTCAATGGTTCAAAAAATCCCTGACAATCTGAAAAGTATACTTGTTCTGCTTTCATATCTGGATTTACTGGTGCTATTTAATATTTTAAATATCACAACTGGCATAGGATAATGATACTTATATACTGAATATCTTTGAAGGCTCTTAGATTGATGAACATGGCTTTCTGAGCTTTATCCATCTATAGGAGCACAGACAACAGACCATTCTCACCGCATCTTTCCAATTAACTTGAGAAAATGGCTGCTGCTGCTTCTTTTTTTAAACATAAATCTTCTCTGACCATGCTTTCAACAGCGTCTCCAATTAAGAAATTCCAAAAAAGTCAATAACTAGTCTAACTTGTACAGCAAAATTGTTGTTAAGGGGTTAGGGGTTATGTTCTTGCTTTGTTTTTTGGGCTTGTTTGGTTCTGCTGGGGTTTTTGGTTTTGTTTTTTTTACTCTGTAACTTCTTAAGAAACACAAAAATGTTTATCCATTAAGAAAACCTATTTAGTTCTGGCATGATTTCCCCAGTGAAGGCCACAGTGCCAACTGTAAGTATTCTAGCTTGTTCAGCCGGCAGTGGGGTAACAGGGTATCCTTTAGACAAATGAGAAAAATGCAATTCCTAGAAAGGAAACACCAGAAATACATTTGGAGTCTGGCTAAAACAGACAACAGCTGCTGAACTAAAAGACTAATCCTAATTTTAAAAAAGTAATTAAAAAGCATTAGGTAGGAGATTTTCACTTTCTCCTGGAGTCAGCATGTTCAACAAACAAGCTTTGAGGCAGGGCATTTAGTTCAGCTCCTCCCCAGTTGGCTATGCCACCTGTATAGCAGAGAAGGGCTCAGGGGCATATGTTCAGAGCTAGGGCTGCTCATGGCATATTAAAAGGAGGTTCAGCATCTCTTTAATTACCTCTCCTCTTATTTTAATCTTTCTGGCCTTTAATTCTCAAACAAGACATGAGATGAGGTGGTTAGAAAAATAAAGTGCTTCAGCCAAGCGTGCCACTTTTCTCCTGTATCCAAGAGAGTTTCAATGCAAAACATTCTCTCTAGAGGGTTTTCTTTAAATTAGGCAGATGGCAACCAGAGGAACTAACTTTGATCTATACTGGGGGTCTACAACAGAAAGCAGCTTCAAACCCCATTATTGTCTAAATATATCTTTAGTGACAGCAAACAATAAACATCCAACAGAGCAGGGAGACATAATGACTTTCTAGATCACTGACAAGGGAATCCACCTGCAGAGCTGCCAAAAAAAAGTTTCTCCACTGTCTCCCATCTCCTATTATTTGTCTCTACTAGCGAGCTACTAGCTAATGGTATATGTACTGGGGAAGAGATTGGTTTCACCTTGATGCAGAGTGAGAATATTTTTAAATCATGAGAGTATTCAATGGGGACAGAAGAGTTTGCACTCTGCCCAGCTCCAGAGGCAACAGCTCTCCACCACAGAGTGGTTTTGTAACGCAGGAGAAGTCAAGGATTCTTCCAGATACATACCCTCTTGTGGTTCAACTCAATCTCGGAAGTTTTTTCATCCCAGAAGACTTCTAGTCGAGCAATGAGAACACATACAAAAGGAGACAACTAGACAGCTAAAAAAATACATTGCATGACAGAAACGAAGTAGAATGATTTTACCTACCATGTGGAGAATATATTCTTAAATTAATAGGAATTGAAGAAATGCCTTTGTTCACTCCTGTTATTCTATCTGTTTCTACTTCAATTTCCTGGCGAACTTCATCAAAATCAGTAAACTTCCTCCCTTTGCAGTGTAGAAATTCAGCATACTCTGTGAAAAAACATCAACAACAACTCTGTATTTCACAGGCTTATAGACTTGGGCACGCACTTTCAAGTCTCTAGTATTCTTCAGATGTGTATGCACAAAAGCACGTCATCACGGATATCAGGAAAACATCATATAGCACATGTTATAGATGACTGCATAGCTGACAAGCAGCCTACAAAAGGAAGCGTTAGTTAAAAAGTCAAGTTGACGAGGTATGATTTACCGCTTTTATCTTTAGCATGTCATGTCCTGGAACAACCCAAAAGATACAAATCGATACCGTTTACATTAATGGAATAAGGAACAGATTGTGAATCAGATTCCAAGTTTTCATCTGACTACAGGTACCTGTAATACAACACTGAATTGAAGAAAATCCAAGTTCTTTATCATGAAAAGATTAGTTTCTGAAAACAAATGCTAATAACTGCTCACGTTACACATGATCTTAACAAGGCAGTTCTGTACATTTTTACAAGTGCATAATGCAAATAAGATCATGTAAGAAACACTGTAATGCCTTTAACACAACTCGTTTCCTGAAAACTTCTTGCAGTCTAAATCCAAACAATGCTTAAGATGTTTTTAAAAGCTTTTCTAAAGTACCTTTGATTTTGCTGAAGTGAGAGAACACAATTTCTGAGTCTTCCATATCGTACGTAACTTGCCCTCTTACCTCAAAAGGGCATCAAACAGGAATCAGGGATAGATACATCCTAATTTGTTAGGCTTTAACTTGATGCTAGGTCCCTGTTTTGACTCTTGAATCCAAGTACTGATACTAATTATTGCAATCGTCTGGATTTCCTGCCCTAGAGGTGCATAACCAAAAGCACTCAGGATTTTAAAACTGGGCTTTCTTCCTTCAAAACAGAACACACAAGTTTCTCTGACATAGCAAGGCTGTAATCAGAAATAATGACATAAATGGTAATCACAGATATGAGCTCACATCCTGTCCCCACAAGGCCTAAGCGGCAGAGCTGGAGAAAAGGTGAACAAAGTTGCGTTATGTTTCAGTTCATTTCATCCTGCAATCAAGGCCTGGTCTCAATGTAGGTGTTTTTTGGCTTCTTGGTTTTACGTTTCTTGGTAAAAAGCCCTTCAACACCAGGGCAAAGAGTTTGCTTGGTACTCAAAGAAAGAAGAACCACTCAGGGGACCTGATCCAAGAATACAGATTAATAGAGGGCCTTATGTATCAGTACTGAAGTCTCTTTCCCAGAAGTCACTTTATTACAGTTGCTGACAGAGCTGTTAAAAAATATCTAATAAACTAGTCAAAACTACACATGAAAACATAACAACAGTTACAGCAAACTGAGAGCCAAAACAAGAGAGGCACAAGGGCAAAACAACAAACAGCAACCTTTTTGTGCTACAATGCCATCATCTCTCTATATTCAAAGTGTGAGCAAAAGGGAAATCCACACTTATTGAGGCAAAAATAACATACCTCGTTTTTAAAATGGAGCACCTAACAAAAACCTCCGTCTCACTTTTGACAATTTAAGAATTCCAGAAGTTGTCGTTTTCTTTTTTAGCTCTGGCAGCACAATGAGAATGAATGTGATGGTTTTTTTTAAAAAGGGAATATTCAAATATTTCAAAGTGAAAGATAATACGGTGCACAAATTAAAATCTCAGCTGCTCTAGAACGTTTGAGAATTCACATTGGTAAAATCTGTTACACCAGAGTTGGAAAACAGCCACCTACTGAAAAAAAAGAGCTTACAAGCGGTTATTTTGTCCCAGTTCTTCATGCACTGCTCCTGCTATAAAATAAAATGTACTCTTCTCACTTACTTTCTTCTTTTTTCAGTGGTTCATCAGATTTTCTCAGATTTTCTTTTATTATTAACAACAATAATTAATAACTGGTGCCCAGTTGTAATCAGTTGACTGACTCAGCTGATAATCAAGGAAGTTTTCTTTCCTCTTTGTTCCACTGACTCTCAGTAGCAGAAAGGGTCCCTATCTGAAATGGCTTCCAAGTAATTCAAATGAAAACATTTGCTACTTTTTTAGCTGTGTTAATATTTATCAATAGCTCATTCCTTCCAGTGACATCCGTGGTCCCACTGATTCTGAAGGAATAGACTTCACAATGGTTCACAACCTGTGGTGCCACGCACAGCCTACAGAATAAAAATCCAGATGAACAAGCAGCGCTTTGTTCTGCTCCTTTCAGCCCTCAGCCTGTCCTTGGCAATGACGCCTTCAGCCACACTGGGTAAGCACATGCTTTAATGCAATCTTCATTTTTCAGCTTTCATACACTGAAGAATACCAAGAAAACATTTTATTTGTATTTTTGTGGGAATGGACGTGAAGCCAGACAAGAACGAGTGATCCTGCCTAATGTCTAGCTTTCAGACATGTTTTTTCTGTAGAAAACTGAAGTTATGTTAATTAAACAAAAAGAAAATTCTGTCTTTGCATGTAGAATACTTTTTTCCCCAGACTCATTCAAAGCTCCTTGGACAACAGAACGAAAAAGCCATCATAGCATAGTTCTCTTTAGTGCCTCAAACCACAGTGATTATTTCCCTCTTCAATTTTGATTAGATAAATCATACAAACAAGTGTTATGGGATAACATTTTTGAAAATGCTCCTATTTTTTCCTGTGAGTTATTTCTCTCTATGCTTTTATGATTCAATCTACCATAACGTTATATTGTGATTAACAATAAATAGCCATTGTTATTTTCAAACCATTTAAATTACAGACACACTTGGGATCTTTCAGAAATCTGTCCCTAAGCTAAACAGAGCTGAGTTAGGTATGGCATGTGATGAGACATGGACCCGCCCTTAGAAATACATGAGATAATCTTAAACCCTTACTGAACCCAAGAAAAGACATTAAAAAAATAAATTAGACTGATAAAGACGGGGGGTTTTTTTTCCCCTTGCTGAGATGAACAGCAGCCAACACAAGTTCAAGTAGCTTTCAGATTGTTAGTTAGTAAGTAATTACAGATTTCTTTATCCTCAGAGTGAACTGTCACTGTTTTTTTTGTCACTTTATTATCTTTTTGAAGATGGGCAAATATAGAGCCATTTTCCAGTCATTCAGTGAGGGGTTTCCATCTTTCCTGATGTCACCGAGCATCAACCTGGGATTGAGGAAACAAAACCTTTCACGCAAAACCACATGTAAAGCCAAGTACTGGTGGGTACGATTCATTTGTCCCAGGGTGAGCTGAGGCCCATACCCCATCTGAGGCCGCTGACGGGAGAACAGGCCGAGCTCTCCATCAGCCACTGCTGCCCAGCTGGGGCTTCCCAGGGGCTGTTACTCGTACACACACAGAGAGCAGCAAGCAAGATCCGCAGTTACAAAGGAAGATCTGCAGTCTCTGCAACTTTACACTAACAGCTGAAATTCAGGTTTCGGACCAGCAGTGCTATTCGTCTTCCAGCATATCAGTGTTATTTGGGTGATGAGTCTTCCATTGTCTCAGGAAGGGGTCACCAGTCACTACCACCATTTCCCCATGGTGATGTCACTTTTTAGCTTTTGGGGTACGCACCTCCCACAACTTTTCTGGTCCCTACAGTACTCCTGTTCATCACCTGATGGCTGCCAGAGAGCGGGATCCAGAAAACAGCAGCCACTGGCTTCCTTTCCTCCCTGCAAAGTCTCCAGTCTCTCCCCTACTATTGGCACTGTGACACACAGAATCACAGAATCCCAGAACG